CTACATGACCAGTAGGTGATAGCAAGTGTACCCAAAAATGAAACAAAAGCTCTAGCTTTCTACTCCCACCTAGTGGCCAAGCAGATTTTTTGTAGTGGAAATATTATTAATGGTTTTTAAATAATGATGAATGCAATAACTGAAAAGACATCACTTGGTTGGTTTGGTTGCTTTATTAGATTTATATGCCGCCCTTCTCCCAAGGACTCAGGGTGGTGTACAATATTAAAAAAACATATTACAAAAGTTAAAAAGAATTAAATAGAACATCCCAAACAAACCCAATTCGGATTAACAATAACATTTTTTAAAAAAAATCGATTAAAATTAACAATGATCAATAATTTATTTTGTTTTCTTCAGGCCAGGCTGGCTTGCTGGAAAAGCCAACTTTTTAGGGCGGGTCGGAAGGACCGGAGTTTGGGGATTATACGAAGCTCCGGGGGCAGCTCATTCCAGAGGGAAGGCGCTCCCACAGAGAAGGCTCTCCCCCTGAGGTCGCTAGCCGACACTGTTTGGCCAACGGCACCTGAGGAGGCCAACTCTGTGGGATCGCACTGGATGGTGGGAGGCTACTGGTGGCAGTAGATGGTCTCGCAGGTATCCTGGGCCTAATCCATGGAGCGCTTTAAAGGTCATAATTAGTACCCTGAATCGCACCCGGAAGACAACCAGCAACCAGTGCAGGCCGCCTAAAAGGGGTGCCCCCATGATAACCCACGCAGCCGCATTTTGGACCAGTTGAAGCCTCTGGGTGCTCTTCAAGGGCAGCCCCATGTAGAGAGCATTACAGTAGTCCAAGCGAGAAAGGACAAAGGCATGAGTGACTGTGCACAGAGCATCCTGATCCAGGAAGGGACGCAACTGATGTACCAGTGAATCTGGTAAAAGCCCCCCCCCCCAGTCATGACCGTCAGTTGTTCTTCTAAACTAAGCCGCATATCCAGGAGGACGCCCAGATTGAGGGCCCTCTCTGAGAGGGCTAAAATTTCTCCCCCTATCAACAAAGATGGAACAAGATGCACAAATCGGGATGACAGAAACCACAGCCACTCAGTCTTGAAGGGATTGAGCCTGAGCCTGTTCCTCCCCATCCAGATCCGCACAGTCTCCAGGCATCAGGACATCACGTTGAGGGCATCGTTTGGATGGTTTGAGGTAGAGATGAAAAGTTGGGTATCATCAGCATATTGATGATACCGTACCCCAAAACCATGGATGATCTCACCCATGGTTTCATATATATGTTGAACAGGAGGGGTGAGAGAACTGATCCCTGGGGCACCCCACGGGTGATGTGCCTCGGAGTCTATCCCTGCCCTCCAGTGAACACAAACTGTGACTGATCCAACAGGTAGGAGGAGAACCACCGTAAAACGGTGCCCCCACTCCCAACCCCCGAGTTGTCACAGTAGGATACCATGGTTGATGGTATTGAAAGCCGCTGAGAGGTTTAATAGGACCAGGATAGAGGAGCAGCCCCTGTCCCAGGCCCGCCAAAGATCATTGACCAATGCGACCAATGCCGTCTCCGTGCTATATCTGGGCCTGAAACCCGACTGAAATAGATCCAGGTAGACAGCTTCATCCAGGAACTGGGGAAGCTGATGTGCTACCACACTCTCAACAACCTTCGCTACATAACGAAGGTTGGAGACTGGACGTTAGTTGGCTAAAGAAGCTGGGTCCAGGGAAGGCTTCTTAAGGAGGGGCCTCACCACCGCCTCCTTCAAGGCGGTGGGAAAGAACCCCTCTCAACGAAGCATTGGTAATCTCCTGGAGCCAGCCTCATGTCACCTCCCGGGAAGCCGAGACTAACCAAGAGGGACACGGGTCCAGCACACAAGTGGCAGCACTGAGTCTCCCCATAATCCTGTCCATGCCCTTGAGGGTCACAGAGTCAAACTCATCCCAGATGATCTCCACAAGATTCATCCCTGTCGACTCACCCGAATCTACCCAGTCAGAGTCCAA